GTAGTTCACCTAGGGGAGTTGGCTAAAAACCCTGATTCCAAACCAACCAAAAGGAGGCGTACGAACCACACCCACACCTTTTCGGTTGTGGCAGTAGTCACCAGCTCGATTAGGCGTTGAGATTTATTGGGCACCCTGGACTCCGTCCGAAGGGCGTATGATCCGATGAACTGGACACCGGCTTCCAACGGACTGCGGTTCTCACACCGCCCCGAGGATTTTGGGCTTCCGTTTAGTTCATCAATTAANCAATTAAGCGGTTTGCCCGGGTTGTAGCTGCTGATATACACACATCGAATTCTGGGATACATAGGGGTGACAGGCGGGCAAGTGATGAAAACAACGTAAAACTGATCCAAAAGAACAACAATCCACTAGTTCAGGGATGCCACTCCTATCAGATACCTCCCCCCCCAGATAATACCAGTCGAATCCAAAGCATCTACTAACTTTGATGCTGTAGCGAATCGTTTTTAGAAAGTTCTCAGAATATTTATTTGAATAGTCGAGATTGAATTGAGATCCGCAATAACATTTCACCCCAGTTCATTGAAGATACTACTAAGCATTGCTTGTGATTAGAAAACTCAACCGTTCACATCCAAATATCAAATTCACGGTAGAACACGAATTCGAAGCTTCGTTCCAGTTCCTGGATGTCAAATTGACAATAAGAGAGGACGGATCTCTCGTCAGATCCGTATTTCACAAGCCGACATGGACGGGACAGTATCTTAATTTTTAGAAGTTTCTGTCCAATACAATACAAGCGCACAGTTTATTCTCTAGAGCCAGGATAATCTGCTCTAGTGAAACGTTGCAGTCCGATGTTCGCTGCATTTCCACGGGACTGCACGAAAATGGCTATCCCAAAAAGTTTATTTCAAAGTATGGAGCGCCAACGAATAAATTAAAACAAAGTGACACCGCCTCAAGAAAGCCGTTTTTGTTACTATATCCTTCCAAGGTGATCACAATGATAGGCGGATACAGCGCAGATTGAAACAAGCGATTGAGAGA